AGTTTCACTGACAAACTCTCTAATTATCAGAACGGAGTAGGTCCATAAAAGACATCGGGCTTGAAGAGTTCTTAATTAAACAATCCGATCAGACCAATTGAGCCTCTTTTCGCAGACCGGAGCGGCCAACACTATCATCACTTGCTAGAGCTTCAACATTAAATAAACGTAATAAAGTCTTACTAGAAATACAGCAATTATGCGGGTCAGATCGTCCCATGTATGTATGCCAGGCTGGATGGACAGTGATTTCTAGACTGGCCCTAGCAACATTCACATGAAGAGGCGTGAATTCCACCCTCAGGCACCCATCGTATCCTTTTTTCCTTCAACAAAAAGCCACTTTTAATTGGATCTCAATTTCACGCACAAAACTTATGGTTATTTTTGTTTCTTTTCCTAAATCTGATACGATGCGATGCATTGACCGGCCTCACCTCCATCCGATTCGTCTTCGCAACAAGCCTACGTCTTCATTAGCACCAATTCGACGTGAATCGCATTGTTTTACAAGTGGAACCCAGCTTGGCTGTCTATTAAGTCTATTTTTTGTGACCTCCAAATATTGTGTTTCGCCTCTCAGGTCTTCTTCTCTTGGCCAATGGGCCTTAAGGTGTACACGCCATAGCAACCACCGCCTCCAGAACGCGTCTTCCTTCCTTTTTCCGCCCACATTTCCCATTTAAGAGCCCGACTGCCGTGGTTCTTCACGCCGCTACCTTTCAATGCAGGGCCCACTGACATCCGAATGAATACTTCCTTCGGCGGCTAGTTCGGTGACAGGAGAGAGCGAGGAAGAGGGAGATGGGTGGGTGGAATAATGATTGTGTGCTTGTATGTGTGTGTGTGTGCAAGCGGGAAATTAGAAAGACCAATCAGGAAAGTTCTTCCAAGAAGTTATAGACAAATGTAAATAAACAGTAAATGGTTTTAAATGGCTCTTGGTCTTTCAGGATTTTATGCTCCTCAGCCCGCCTACGCCAGTCAACCTCGACGTTAACTTGTCGGAATTGCATTAATAGCCTCTGAAATATCTGTTTATCAGGTTTCCTATAAGCTTCCTGACATTGGCAAGGCAATCCAATACTCTCTCCTTTATGTCCAGGTGCCTGATCTACCAAACTCTCGGCTTTAGAAGGAAAGTTGTCGCCTAACCCAGACCGGCCCATTTCTGTCCGAGG